AAAGAATGCAAATCCCACATAAATTTCTTTTCATTTAGCCTGAGACACGGAATGAGATACCTTCACTAAATCTCATTCTCCTCGTATATAAAATAAAGACAGTAGTAGTACCTACCCACAGAGGTTGTTGAAAAGATACAATAAAATAATGCATACAAAGCTTCTAGTACAGTATACACCTAGCCCACAATGTGTTCAATAACAGGTAATGTAAGTAGATAGTGGAAGGTAGGTAAGTAGATAGCACAGTTTGTCATTAAATATCATCTATTTGGATTATTTAAAATCAATAGAAAATGATATGTAAAGGGAGATACTTATCATCATCCAATAATGTGCTCCTAAATGGTTAGCACATTTTGCTTCTCAAACCATTGCAAACATTCAGTATTAAATAAAGATGGCTCTACTGTTAAATGTTTGCTTCTCCCTAAAAGTTTCTGGATAAAAAAAGACACATCATTAAAAAAACACACCGCTTATTGACAAAGATTTCAGTTTCCTATGTAGAGTAGTAAAAACTAAGTAATTCATCACAATTAATTTATGTTTGGGATACATTATACACATAGATATAATTTTTTTCAAACTCCCTTAGTTTAGCAATAGCACAGTATCTTTGCTGCATACATGTGCTAAAAGATAATAGACTATGCTTCTTTTCAAATGTTCTGTAATTAAAATATTTCACTAATTTAATCTGGTCCTCTGGCTTCTTCCACTTAATTACTTGAAGTGATTGTCTTATTATACCAATTTTTCTCCTTTCATTTTGAAGCTGTAGGTTTTTAGGTAGAGAACCTTACTGCCAATCACTTTCTAATGAGACCCAAATCTGAATATAAGGCCTGAATTTGGAAATAGGCATTCTGTGGTGTATGCAGAGAAGGAAACTGCATTGTTTGAGAAACCAATCATGTGGGTAAAAAAAAAAAAAAAAGTACCAGAGAGGGAACTCATTTGACTATTGCCAGCAGCTTGAGGCTCCAGAGTGCTAATCAAAATTCACACACAAAACTTCCCCAATAGATTTCACCGTTTTGTACTGTTAAGAGGGGATCTTGCCATGTGAAAGATCCACTGCTGTGCTGAACAAAACACAGACAGTTTTCTTTTAAAGTCCAGAGCAGATGAGAGCCATAAGGAGACAGAGGGTTTCATTTACTCTCAGGACACGATTGTGCCAGTGAACTAATGAGTCTCTTGGACCTTATGTTGCTCTGGCTTCCATCGAGGGGAGACTCTAATGGGCATGTAGTACTTCCTATCCGTCAAGTGTCTGGACAATGGCCCCTCATATGGATTAGAGCGATCTGGCAAGAAAAAGAGGTCATCCTTGTACCTAGCACAGGCAGGAAACCTGGCTAATTAATGTATTTCCAACTATAGCAAGACAAAAGCTGACACACACACAAATGTTAATTTTATTGCAGAAACTCAGCCTGTGGCTGAGGCATAGTTTAAAACTTATGGAAATCCCTTAGGTAAAAAAAATACCTCTCCTTTCCCCCAACACACTCCAGTATTTATAAAGATATCATTCTTTAAAACAACTATGTGACTTGCTCCTTTCACCCTCTGTTAAGGTTGGATGATGAATAAATATTTTGAACAGTTACAAAGAAAATGCTGAGAGTTAGTGTCAGCACTGCATAATTTTAACAATTTGCCCTTTAACAGAGACTGTTGAATTAAGCTTGTAAAAATCCTACTGCTCTATTCAATAGAGAACACAAATGTTTGTTCAAGCAAGAAGGCTCGGGTTACACTACATCTTAAACTAAGAGCAGATACTGCCACCTAGATAAATTCTGATGCTGTAGTGAACTAAATGTTGGCTTACCTTACTTTCTGAAAAATAGCAACAACAAACAATAGTGGCTTGGTGCAATAAAATACAATGAATGATAAAGGGTCACTTTAAAAATCCATACAAATGTAATTTTCTTTAAAAGAAGACATTTTTGTTTTGCCAAATATCAATGATTAAGCCTTTATTTAACTTTTTAAATGCAGAAGACAGATTACTATTAGAAATAGGAGGAGGACACTTTATAAAACATTCAAACAAAATCTCCACTATCCTGAAGTTTAGAAAGAAGTAGATGCAGAGGTGATATCAGTAAGACTTGTACATTTCTTGTTAGATATTTCCCCCCTTAGTTTGGAAAGAGGAAGAGAAACACAAATAGGTTTTGGTTTAATAAGTAAAATAAGATCACTTAACAATTTTTTAAAAAGAGCATTGCATTATAGTCTGTGCTGATACACTTCCTGGCACACAAAGCAAACTAACTTTCCCCCTCCTCTTTTATTCCTAACAGTAAAAGAAATGTTGCCTTTTCTTAGCTCTAGTTGGAATCTAAACTCAGTAATGTTTTCCAGGATCATAAACATATCAGGCTCAGAGAGGTATTTTTCTTATCTTTCGATTGTAGCTCTTCTTCAAATTGCTTTTTGTTTTCCTCTGTTACTCCCAGAATGACTTCAACCTCATCAATGGTGGCCTGTAAATGAACAATAAAAATGACATTCATTACTTAAACATCTCTTACAACTCTCCCCTCCAAGTCTTCCCACCACTAAGCATTTGTTCCTTTTTGGAGTTAAGTGTGTGATTTAGACTACTTTGACTCAAAGTGTGCTCCACCAACCAGCACCATCTACAAGTTGTTGGTTGTCAGTCCTGATGAAATGAATATAAAAACTGTAAGAACTTGGAAATATTTATAGAAATTTTAATGTCTATTAAATGTAATAATGAAAAAAATGGGCTTCTATTGTGTACATCTTTGAGTGTTTTATTATATTATTATTACTAGGGCGTGTAGGGGAGGCAACCAATCAATGTCTCTCTCTCATTGATATTTCTCTCTCCTTCCCTCTCTGGGAAAAAAAAAAGGATGTTGGATTTTATTAAATGTTTTTTTTCTGAATTACCTTCCACTTTCTTTTTAAATATATTTTATTGATTTTTTACAGAGAGGAGGGGAGACGGATAGAGAGTTAGAAACATCGATCAGCTGCTTCCTGCACACTCTCAACTGGGGATGTGCCCGCAACCAAGGTACATGCCCTTGACCGGAATCGAACTTGGGACTCTTCAGTCCGCAGGCCGACGCTCTATCCACTGAGCCAAACTGGTTAGGGCAAATTACCTTCCATTTTCATTCAGCCTTTACTTTGCTAGTAAATCCTTGTTGCTAAACTAAAAATATTTATTAGAATGTCATGAGGATATACTACCCAAAATGAATCTATTTCACTTTTCAAGTTTTTATTATTCCTATTTTGTTGAAATTTAACCTTTTTACCTTTTGACCTTCTATCAAGAGTAAGCATATCAAGATAATAATGATTCACATGAGAAGGCAAGAAACCATGATAGTATATTTAAAATCTACTTTAGAACATCTAACCTGATAATTTTGAAAGTCAGACAAAGGGCAGAGAAATAGCCTTCATTATGCCATGAGTAGTTGGCTTTGCCAACCTCAAGTCCAAAGTCAGAGCCTTCTAAATCCGTGTAGTTTGGGGGATATACCCTCTGTCATAGTGTGCAGGCTGCTATAACAAACTACCACAGACTGGGTGGCTTCAACAACAAAAATTTCTTTCTCACAGTTCTGGAGGCTGGGAAGTCCAAGGTCAATGTGCTAGCCAATTCAGTTCCTGGCTTGCAGACAACCAGGTTTTTGCTGTAGCCTCACATGGTGGGGAGAGGGTGAGCAAATGCTCTGGTCTCTTATAAGGGCCCCATCATTCCCACACCACCCTCATGACCTCATTTCAACATAATTCCCTTCCATCTCTATATACTGTCACTTTGGGGTTAAGATTTCAACAGGTGAACTTTGGGAGGACAAAATTAAGTCCATAGTACCATCCGATTCTGTTTATTAACTACATTTTGACAGACTAATCTGATCATGTGCAGACAGTCTTAGAATTTTGTGCACAGCAGTAATGACAAGATGATGCTAGCTTGCAGTAACTTAGAATATAAACGATGAGCATAGATCCTTTAGGACCTGTGAAAGTTATTACAACACTGGGCCGTTTTAAAATTAAATCTTCTCAGTCATGTTACGGGAAAAGCGGTGGTCAATCTTGCAACTCATAAAATCACATTGAAGAGTACATCACATTGAATTATTATCATCATTACCATTACTAGAAGGACCAGGGCCTAGCTCAAGGAAAAAACATATTAAAAAAAATCCTATTCTTATCAAGCTTTTGTTGGGCTTTCCATTTAAGAGAAAAATGACATGTAGGTTCCAATTGAGTCCTTTGAGTTACTTGACCCATTCAAACATGATGAAGGCTCAGGCTGAAAATCCGATGAAAATTTTGATAATCAATATTAAATGTTCATTTCTGCTCAGCGGGTATTTTCAAACCTCTTGTACAGATCTTGCTCCTGTTTCCTAGAGTTTGGAGACATCTAGTCAATTACACATGACTGGATTATCTGGAAGCTTCAACAGTTAGTGATGGAACATCTACCCACTTTGGAGGAACAGGGTGGAGTAGATGGCTCACATATGTGCTGAGCTTGTCCCTAAACACACTGTCCTTCCTGGCCTCAGAACTTCTCTGTCCTAGAAACTTGGGCTCGCCAGGAATCCCTATTCAGACACTGAAATGTAGGTAGATTATAGCCAGGATTTTTTTTTTCTGCAACAGTCTCTGTTTGGGCTCCATTGTGATGTTTTAATTTCAGTTCCCACATCAGAAAGCCCAGTTGTAGTGTAAGCTTGGGTTTGGAAATGGTAGCAAGTTAAAATAAGACTACCATATTTCAAAGAAAAAGTTTCAAACTATTACGTTTAACTAACGGGTTCAGTGAGAACCTTACAGTATTGACCCTGCACATTGTAAAAGTGTACTGCTTACAATAAAAAAACATGGTTTAGCACTTGTTTACAATACAGCATGAGGTATTTTCAGCCCTTGTATAGAAATCAACCAGGATCGTTAGTTAATTAACACCTCACCTTAAAATTGGTCTCGCCTTGCATATTAGGTGCTGATATTTCTTGATGGATGACGAAGAGATTGCGAGCAAAGGTCATGAGGACCCCCTGGAGATCCTCACCGATTGTTCTGTTAATGATATCCAAACAAATGAGTTTACCAATGATTCCCCTCACATGCTTAAAAACAATCACCCTCTCATTTGTGCCTGTCTGGTGATGGAATTTAATGAGTATTTTCAATCTCACAAGGTGGCAATCTTCAGGGAGATATGAAAGATGAGGCTCCATTTTAACTTGTCAACAAAAAGGATTTGTGTAATAAATATTTTTTATTAATCAACTTAGCAGAATATAGGAATAGATTCAGTCATTTGTAGCCAAAGGCTACCACTGATGAGGACAGGAGTATTGAGAAGCTCATTTTAAAAATTGTTTTAGTTAGTTTAATAGAATCATTGCTAAGTGTAATCCATGCCTAACAATTTCCTTGCCTACAGAGACATTTGCACCTCAGTATTATTTTCTACTCCATGTATACAAGTGACTCCTTCTACTACTTATAAGTGGTGCCCTACCCACATTGAGAAATGACAGCAAGCTAAAATAAGACTACTATATTTCAAAGAAAATGCCTCTTTCATGGGCAGCTATCTTTATAAAGCTGAACACACACTTTAAGAAAATCTCAGTGATGACTTGCAAACCATCCTGTAGAATTCTACTGTGTTTCTAAACAACTAGATCATTGTAAATTTTAACTTGAAAACAAACGCCAAGGTATTTATTTCTAGCTATTTTTTGAGCTTTATCAATAGAAAAGAATAGATTAAATGAGTTAATTTAAAAAAATTGTTCTGTCCTGAGGGGCTGAACCTAAAGAGCTAGTTGCTCCTTAAGTCAACTGCAAAATAACTTTGCAATTACTTCTTTCCTAGTTGTTACCTGTGAAATAAATCACCTTAGAATCTCAGACCTAGACCTTTTGGGAAGGCTGCCTTCCAACCTGATCCTGCTTTCCCTGGGGTCAGGGTGGGACTAGAAAGCTTCCCAGGGCCCAAGGCAGGAGGCCAGGGCTCTTTCTCCTGCCACTGACTGTGTGACTTTGGGGACAGTTACTTGATCTCTCTGGGTCTTCATTTCTTTATCTCTGAAATGAAGGAATTGGACTAGATCAGTGCTCCCAAACCTTTTGAGGTATATTTCCCGCATCTAAAGACTGCCCAACCTCATCCCTTATAGCTTCTGAACATTGGTGTCTCTTCTTTTAGGAGTATAAATATCACTCAAGGCAACTTCAGAATAGATAATTTAAAAAAGGTATTTGTGTTTTATTGCCGCAGGGTCAGTATATATTAGACCCCGGATGCTCCTAAAATAGCAGACTCCCAGGCTCTCCCCCAGATCAATAAAATCCTAATCTTTGGACTTGGAACCCAGGAATATGCAGTTTCACCAAGTCCCCCAGGTTATTTTGATATATACAAAATATTGAGACCCATACTTCAAAAAAGTATAGTTGTGTGTACATGTGTGCATGCGTGTATGATGTAGAGGCCCACATACTGCTGGGGTTCATGGTTCTCAGATTGGGAACTAAGAGGCTGGATGGACTTTAATTAATTTGGGTCCCTATTAATTAATTCATTTCTAGAATTTCCTTCACTTTCGCTTCCCTGAAATTTCTCTTCAAATTCCACTATTCCAGGAAATATTCCAATGTAAATGGAGCTGGTATGAAGTTATCTTGGTAAAGCTAAGCCACAAAGTTCTGGTATATAAGGTCATCCCATCTTGGAACCTTCACCTTTCCTAAAGAGGTGGCCATCTGACCTTCTTCACCCAATAGGACCTGATCACAGTAAAGCCAAGCGGAGCCCAGCCCTCTCATGGAAAGCTTCTCCTTAAAGCACCAGAGAAAATTTAAGCAACATGAAGGGGGGAAAAAAGCTTATATCTGCTCATCTCTTCCTTTTCAATTTGAGTTCTAGAAAATGAGGACTGTCTCCTGGCCACTGTCTATTAAGTTGTCTATTTTCAACCTCCATGTCCATGCCTAAGAGCAATCCCTGTATACTGGCTATAATTCCACCCTTTCATCTTATACTCAAGAAAGCACAACTAGATGCAAGTGAGAATCTCAGCAATAATCTTCAATCCTATCTAATAGTCAGAAAAAGTAAATTAGTAAACTCAATATAAACTTGTATAAGTAGTGAAGCACCTCACAATAGGCTGAGAATCTCTATATTCCATAAAAGTGTTCTAGGGTGGCCACACAATATAGTCATTGTGGTGTAGTGAAAACAACAATGGATTTGAGATCAGGAGACACAATCTACTGTGTGACCTCTAATGGGATTATTTCTTAGAATAGTGGAATGACCCTCTAGAAGATACACCAATAAGACTATTTCTACCACCAAAGCTAGTCTGCAGGCCAAGGCATCCTTGCCTGATATCTCAGGGGCATGTGTAGCCACAGTTGGGCGGGTTCCTCTTGGTCTAATTATTCATTCTGTAGGTTTCAGCATCAAGTCAAACTTGCTGCTTGGTCAGTTTGATGATTGGGGGTGTTCCTTTTTCACAAAACAGCCTCTTCTTCCAGCTCCTAAGTTCTGTGATAGTTTTCTTCTCGCCTGTTCCTCTATGCCCTAGTGCCCACCTGGATAAAGCTTTCCAGGGCCCGTACTTCAGGAACTCTGCCCCTGCCCTCTTAACACTATCCTTGTCTCCTACTGTCAGTTCTAGGGCACAAGTCCTGTTCCTGAGCGTCAGCTTTTGCTAATGGGCTCCCTTCATGCACCCCTTGCAGACCTGGGTCTCTAAAAGCAGCCTCCTCTCTGAGCTCCTACGGTCTTGCTCCTTCCACCCAGACCTCAGGTTGTCCATTTACTCTTTGTAGTTGGAACATTCCTGGCTGGTGCTGCTTGTTGGGATGACCTCCAGGTTCCTGAACCCTGTTTATATTTTGCTTGCCAGGCTGTTCTTTTCTGAAGGGCAGTCACCCCTCCCAGCCTTGTCCCCCATGCATGGGGTTTGCCTAGTTCCACTCCCAGCCCTGCTTGTCCTTTTCAGTCGACCTTTCGTGCCAGCCAGTGCCCATTGAGGTGGAGTTCATGTCTCTGCGTTCTGACTTCTAGTTCTTGTACTTAACTAATCCATTGTCTGAATTCCTGAGCTTAGAAATATACTTGGACCTTGAACCTTACCGGCTCAGTCAGAATCATAACTATACACATTTCATATTCCCCAGCTTGCCAACTTCAAATCCAGTTGAATGCTTGGTTCTCCCAGTCCCAGTAACTGCCTGGTGGCCTATGTCCTGCCACAGCCCTGGCATCAATGACAAGTTTGGAGGGAGTGGAACAGGAAGTATTTCATCTCTGGTGTTCTGGCTACTGGTGCCCTTTCCTGACTTATTGGGAGTCGACATGCTAAACCATTTATAATGCCTGTTACAACTGATAATAGTTTGGTAAAACAAAGGACTGTACTTTGGATAGGGAGTAGAGACCTGTCCTGTACGCATCTCTGCCTGTTTTCATGTGGGACCAGTGTCTAGGAGACTGAACATCTGGGGAGAAACTGAGGCTGTTCAGGAACATTGATACTTAACAGAAGAATTGGCTCTTGCTTGGTCAGTTTTTATAAGAACAGATCTTAGCTTGTGTGTTTCAATGTGAGGTCACACTGCTCTAGATGTTACAAGGAGAGACATATAGGGCAGAAACGGTTTCCCAATAAATTAGGATGACTTTAAAGGACCCACTAACCATATTCCAAGATATGAAATAAGACACAATTCAAGATGGTGGTTCTAAAGTTCTGAGTCCTAGATGAGGAGACAACTTTGCTTGCTCTCCAATATTCCCTGGAGAGAAATTCGTAGGAAACAGGGAAGCATAGAGAAGCCTCCTGAGCACCCAGCAGGGCTCTTCTCAGCACACATGCATCTTGAGAAGACTGGACCGTGGCCAAAACTGGGTATGAGGAGGGGTCACAGACCCTGCTTTTTGGGGGGCATCTTGCCAAAGGCACCAGAACACTTTTCTAAGTATGCCAGTAAGCCCTTCCACAACTACAACATCTGAGCTTGTTCATCATGAGTATGATTGTGTGTGTGTGTGTGTGTGTGTGTGTGTAATATGTTGGTTGAAAACTAGCCTCTTACTCATCAATCTGAATAATTAATCAATTATATTCATGAACTCCCACTGACACATCTAAAGTCATTGTGTGAAACACTTGAAGATCTAAATAAAATAAGTTAGACTTCCAATAAATCAGCATGCTGATTTAAAAAAGAACCTCATAGACAGATAACAGTATGGTGATTACCAGAGGAAAATGGGGGCTAAAGGGAGGATAAATGGTGATGAAAGGAGACTTGACTTGGGGTAGTGAACACACAATACAATATACAGATGATGTATGATAGAATTGTACATCTTAGACCTATATAATCTTATTAACCAATGTAACCCCAATAAATTCAATTTAAAAATTTCTCAAAAAATGCATGAGAAGTGTCATACTTGTTGGTTGTTATAGTCTATTTTCTTAGCTTATTGTATCTCATAGACATACTCACAACATTCCCAACTTGTTTCTCTTCAAGTGTTCATATAATATGAAAACAGTTCCTTGTCTGTCCTATAAAATTTGAATGGGGAGGAAAGAAATAGCATGTTATGTTGAAACAAAGTAAAGAAAATGTATGTACTATGACCACTAAGGCAGATTTGAATTGAAGTCTAAAGCTAACTGTAAATACTGTGAAAAGTACAGTGGGGAAGGCTGTCTCCAGAATATGGAGTAGATATATTCTAGGACAGTGTTGTTGTTTTTCAATTGAGATATAATTTACATATAACATTGTGTAAATTTCAGGTGTACAACATGTTCATTTGATATATTAATATATTGAAATATGATTACCACTGTGGCTTTAGCTAAGACCTTTATCACATCACATTATTTCTTTTTTACAATGATAACATTTAAGATCTAGTCTTTTAGCAATTCTGAAGTATATAATACAGTATTGTTGACTATAATCACTAATGCTGTGCATTATTAGACTTCATCTTCTTTGTACCCTTTAACAATATATCTACAATTCTCACC